GACCAGATGGACCTTTGCTGGCAAAGTAATGTCTCTGCTTTTTAATATGCTCTCTAGGTTAGTCATAACTTTTCTTCCAAGGAACAAGCGTCATTTAATTTCCTGGCTGCAGTCACCATCTGCAGTGATTTTGGAGCCCCCCAAAATAGAGTCTCTCACTGTTTCCACTCTTTCCCCATCTATTTGCCATGAAGTGATGGGACCAGATGCCATGATCTTAGTTTTCTGAATGTTGAGCTTTAAGCCAACTTTTTCACTCTCCTCTTTCACATTTATCAAGAGGCTCTTTAGTTCTTCTTTGCTTTCTGCCATAAGGGTGGTGTCATCTGCATATCTGAGGTTTTTGATATTTCTTTTGGCAATCTTGATTCAGCTTCTGCTTCATCCAGCCCAACATTTCTCATGATGTATTCTGCATATAAGCTAAATAAGCAGGGTGACAATATATAGCCTCGATGTACTCCTTCCCCGATTTGAAACCAGTCTGCTGTTCCATGTCCAGTTCTAACTGTTGCTTCTTGACCTGCATACAGATTTCTCAGGAGGCAGGTAAGGTGGTCTAGTATTCCCATCTCTTTAAGAATTTTCCAGTTTGTTGTGATCCACACAAAGGCTTTGGCATAGTCTATAAAGCAGAAGTAGATATTTTTCTGGAACTCTCTTGCTTTTTCAATGACCCAATGGATGTTGGCAATTTGATCTCTGGTTCCTCTGCCTTTTCTAAATCCAGCTTGAACATCTGGAAGTTCATGGTTCACATACTGTTGAAGCCTGGCTTGGAGAATTTTGAGCATTACTTTGCTAGCATGTGAGATGACCGCAATTGTGTGGTAGTTTAAGCATTCTTTGGCATTCCATTTCTTTGGGATTGGAATGAAAACTGACCTGAAAGTAATGCTTTCATCATTTTCCCTCTCAAAGTTTCTCTCATTTCTGTATCTACTTAGGATGCCTAAAGAAATGTAGCATCTTTTCAGTACATATGGGGCTACAGTTTCATCTAATCAATAATCTATCATTTTAGATGTCATCAAACCTCTTACCTATAGCATTCTGAATTTTGAAAATTTTGGTCTTTTATAGGATTTTGGATGCAAGAGGAATTGTACATGTGTGCTTAGTTCATTCTTTTGATAAAACCACTGTTCCCTTTGGAAAAATTCTTCCTGCTTTTTTGGGGCTCTAATCATGTTCTTTCACCCATTCAGTATGGTCAACTTGGGTCTTCTATAATATCACTCCTCTGGTCACAGTGACTAACTGAGAGCAGACATATAACGCAAACACAGAAAATAATACTAGGAGGAGGAGTGTCTCTTTCTTTTGGAGGTGCTAAACTGGAGCTGCCTCTTTTCATGTCCACCACCAGCTGGAGGAAGCCACGAGAAATAGAAAGCAACGAGGACCTTCAGAAAAAAGAAATGAAAAAAGTCTAGGGGAGATGAGAAACTGAACCACATGCATGCATATACAGATCCACATGTACATACACACTCAGTAACATGGTTGACTATGAAATCCAGTTGGTTTTAGACCGGCTTTCACCCCTGCATTTACCTGTTAGTGACTTCCCTGGGAGTTCAGTTGGTAAAGAATCTGCCTGCAATGCAGGAGACCAGGGTTCAATCCTTGGGTTGGGAAGATCCCCTGGTGAAGTGAATGTCAACCTACTTCAGTATCCTTGCCTGGAGAATTCCTTGGACAGAGAAGCCTGGTGTGCTGCAGTCCATGGGTCCCAAATGTTGGACATGACTGAGTGACTAAGCACACAAGCACACGACCTAATAAGATATCTTCTCCTTTTTTAAATTAATTGAACTATTTTGAGTGGAATTTCTTTCGCCTGTACCAAAAAAATATACTTTCTGGCTAACTCATTCACAGCCTTTAGATTTCCTCTTAGACTTCATTTGTTAATGGAAGCCACCCTATATTGTAATTACTTAATCATCTCTCTCCTCTCACTCGACAATAAACTCCATGAGGAAAAGGATCATTGCTTGTCACTGTGTATCCCTGGAACTTTTGTACAAGGCCTAGAGCATTAATAGGAACTGGATCACATCAACATGTGGAATAATGAATAAATGTAACTGTATTATCTCATTTTAGTAGATGCCCAGCAGTAGACACCTGGTTAGAACCATGTCTTTGGGTATCTGCTGTAAGTTTTTGATCATCATCATTGCTACTATCCAGTAGGGTTCTTTGTGTATAAGTATTCACTGTTTCTCCTAGTTTTCAGGTAACAAAAGCAAAGGACATAGCAGTTTCCAGGTTTCTGGGTGGGCCCTCAAAGCCATAGAAAATATACACTCCTTAAGGCAGGAGTCCCAAACCTCTGGGATCTAATGCCTGATGATTTGAGGTGGAGCCCAGAAACAAAGTGCACAATACATGTAATATACTCGAATCATCCTGAAACCATGCCCCTCAACCTGGTCCATGGAAAACCTGTCTTCCACAAAACCAGTCCCTAGTGCCATAAAGGTTGGGGACTGCTGCCTTAAGGAGACTCTGGTTCCCTTATAGTTGTTATGTCTGTGAATCTGTATCTAATCATATTGCCAAAACAAGACTTGGAGAGTTCTTGGATTGGGTGATTAAAAGGAAATTCTCATCTCTATAAATAAAGTGTCACACAATACTTCATCATCTAAGATGGCTACAACTACAGGTATCTATCTGCTGCCTGTGTTCTCTGCTCCATTCTGTCATTATTCTAGCTCATTCTAGTTGTTTACAACCTTTTTCATCATATATTTATATGCAAACTATTGAATGAACTACAAAACATGCTGCTTATAAAACTATATATATTATATTTCTAGATTTTGAAAAATCTCAGGTCAAGAATAATGAATTACCAAAAATGTGCCTCTATGACCTAATATGAAATTTCTTAAAAAAGGTGAGTAGAAATAGCTAGAAACAATTGCTAAAATCAAAAATACAAATTCAATTTTCTTTAAAACCCAAGAAAAGATTTGAGTATGATTTATTTATGTTATCTATTAATAATTAAAATTAACATTTAGCAATTATTCTTAGAGGTGATTTATGTGTTTTGTTATAATCATCTATCCATAAGTAAGAAACAAACTAAATTTCATCAGTGTTACTTAACTTGAATGCTTGCCTGAGATTTAAATTTGGAACACTTATATGGCTGTTGTATGGCCCTTGGTTGGTTCCAGAGCCCTGAGGTCAGCATGAATAATTACGTTAGTGGACAAGGCCTCTATGAAAGGTTGTTCATTAAAAAAAGGTATTTGCACCAAATGTTATCAGAAACTTCTGAAGTGCTATAAAATAATTGTAGTATAACATTTGCTTTGGTTAATCCTTTAAAATTATATGAATGATCTAATTCTTGAAGACTCAACATCCTTTCCTTAAGGAATTTTTTTACAGCTCTGGTCAACTTGGGGAAAATACAAAAGACAATAGAAAATAAATGTTTCAATCCTTGTCTACTTTCTCCATTTTTTCTTTCCATAAGCATAAATTTCACCTAAATATAACCTTACAACAGAGAAGAAAGGCACAGTTGTGTAATTAACAAAGGGAAAGGAAGTTCTTCATGAAATTTTCTTTCTTCGTGATTTTAAATATCTGTGTATGTTGCTGTTGAAGCCACTACCATTTTCCCAAAGTTTTGCTGAGTAGATAAAATAGGGATGTATGCCAAACAGATAATTATTACAATGCTGTCACTCTATATGATGTAATTCTGAAATGGAAATGTTTTCAGTGGAACTACTGTCAAGTGACATCTAATTTAAGATACAGAATGAGGAGACTGCAAAGAAGAAATTTTAAGGAAAGTCAAAAGCAAAAAGGGTTCCTTGTTTTCCTTCAGCTCATTTAAAAGGCCAACAGTAGAACAAGTACCCAAATGGATAGTGAGACACCATGACTCAGGTGTTTAATGAAGTCAGCAATTTTTAAACTGCAGAATAACAATACTAGGGAAGACCAAATGGCTGGCACATTGCACCTGCATCTTAATATCAGGAAAATTATAAAGGTAATGTAAATATCCCCTTATTCACTTTATTTCTGACCATGACCATTCCCATCTCCTAGTTTTCTAGTTGAGAATCTAAAGAGCACTTTTTATGGCATCTTTAGAGTCGGATCTGACTGAGCGACTCTAAGTACAGCACCGCCTTCATAAGATGTTCTCTTATCATGGATTCATTTCTAGTAATTATGAGTATGTGATTATATGTAAGAGTGTACAAAAATATCTTTAGGTAAACCATTTCTTGTAGAACTGCTATTATATGCACTGTTACTGAATCCCTTATGTAGTATTAAGAGGCATTGCTATGTGCCCTGCATTATACTATATGCTGCATAGTAAAACAGCACATGATTCTTAGCTTCAAGGAATACAGTTGGATTATGTCAATTATATCAATCCCTGGGAAATAATTAGAAAACCATATAATGTGATGTAAATGTACATGCTTATTGGTGTGCTAAGAGTAGCCAATATTCAGCACAAAGAGATAAATTGGAATAAAATAATAGAATGTGATTAAAGAGTTTGTCTAAACCCTTCCTTTGAGATGCGATGTAATTAAGGAAGGTTTGCTTCGTTGAGAAAGTGGGATTTGAATTAGGCCTTAAACAATGAGTACACTGAAAATAAATGTGAAATTAGAGGAGATTTAACTGAATTAATTTATCTCACTTTTCCTGATTTTATTTGTATGAAGACACACATACTCTATCCAACTGAGCTTTGTCAAATAATCCATAAATACATAAAGTATATGTGATTAACAATGCTTTTAATGCCAAAAGACAGCTTATTTTCTTAATCCAAAGCTCACTTTGTGTAATTATTCTTTTTGCAAACTACTAGTTGGTTATATTAACACTTGAGTAATCTTGACAAGAAGTTGCTTTAAGCAGTTAAAGATCCAGATGCTGATCAGCATGCATTAAGTGATTCAGCTTAATTGGTTCCATCTAGATAAATTACTTACCTCAGTTCCTATCACAATTTCTTCCCTGACAGAGAAGAACAGAAACTCATACAGCTTGTAGTGTTGAAATAAGCTGAAACACAAAATAAATGTGGAAAACTGATAAATTTATTTCAGGGAAAAAAGCAAATATATAAGAATATTTAATACAGGAAAGTTGACTGCATTGACCAAGCTAAAGATATTAAACACTAATATGGTATCAGTCACCTCCACTACTTCAAAATATGTTCCCCAGAAATGCTAAGAAATGTAAAGGCTTATTTTCTGATACACTGACAATATAACAGTACCTAAATTAGTATCGGTAAACTAATCTGTGATGAATGGATAGGTTTGGGGTAGATTTCATCTTGAGTTTTCTTGGCTCACAACCAAATAATGCAATGCACCTAAACACCAACCTTCATATTCTTCTTCATGTTTCGTTCCAAACTGGAATCAATTTCCTCTCATATGAATAGCACTGAATTCTAAGGCTACTTCCATATCAATTATACCTCTCATGTTCTCAAACTGTTTCAAGATTAGTCTCTAATAACACCTGAAAAATGATGTAATGTTAACTGAACTACTTTTTAGATGTCTGATTTTCTTAAAGAATATTTGATTACTCATCAAAGGCAGGAATTAACTTAAGAAAGATAATTTCTTTAGCTCCTACCCTAAAGACTAGGTGGTCAGTGCATAAAAACTATAAAGAGATAAAAGATAGGAGTTTCTTAAAATATATGTATTTCTAGTAAGGTTAAAGATCTCAGCAATGTGTTACTGAGAGTTAAAAATTTACTGAAAGGTTGACTTCTAATATCCTGTTTGTGATAATATTTGAATTTTTCTAATTCTCTTCCTGCTGGTTGGGAAAATTAATAGACTCATAATACAGTGAAATGCCGAAGAACAAAAAATTGTCCTAGTGGTTTCTCTTTCACTCTGGTGCCTTTTGCTATTTAAGAAAATTGATTTTAATATAACTGAGAAATTAACATTTGCAAAATGTAGCTACAGAGCATGTATAATAATGGCTTCTCCTGAATGCTGTAATGGATCAAAGTTTCAATTCATTTGAAATCAATGAAGAAATCCTCAGGCAGCTGGGTCTCTCTGAGTTATATTAGCAGTTGATCTCACTACTAACACAATCAATTTAAAAAGTGATGTGTGTGCAGATCAGTCATGTTTTTTTCTTTTTCACTACATTCAAATTAGTCATCAACATTCAGAAGACTAACTTAGATTTTGACATTACTTTGATTTGTTGGCTAGAAAATACATTAAGATTAGTGACATCTGATGATCCAATGAAGCAAAATACATTCAAACACACCTTCCCTTACATTGGTTACCTAGAAAAAGCTTTAAGATTAAAACTATTACATTGTCAATAACTGACTGAGTAGAAAAATAAGGCTGTAGAGTATTTTGGAAACAGCCTGGCTTCTTTTCAGTTAACTGGTATAAAATTTTCTTTTCCCCATCTTGTGTCACTCAATGAAGTCAATTCATAAACCTTCCTTCCTGCAATTTTATAATCTTTCCACTTTATTCTCCTTATTGTATATAGTAATTAGATTAGTATTAGTTGCTCAGCTGTGTCCAACTCTTTGTGACCCCACAGACTGCAGCCTACCAGGCTCCCCTGTCCATGGAATTCTCCAGGCAAGAATACTGGAGTGGGTTGCCATTCCCTTCTCTAGGGGATCTTCCAGATCCAGGGATTGAACTTGGGTCTCCCTCATTACAGGCGGATTCTTTACCACCTGAACCACCAGGGAAGTCATTATTAGATACTCCCATACTAAAAGAGAAGTTCACTTCTTACACTGAAAATAAAATGCATGACTTGGCTGCAGTGGTCAAAGAGGTGAAGCCGGGCAAGGTCAGGGCTACACAGTGAGACAGGCAAGGAGAGGGGCCACCTAAGGGAGGCACTGACTCAGCTGCTGGTCAGGTCACTCCCAGAGCCTTGATCTGGTCCCACCACAGCTGGGGTCCTCTCCCTTTACCAGGGAGACTTGCATGGGAACAAAGTATCACTTCTGAAATGGGAATGTATTTTTTACCTCTACCTTTGAACTTCCAGTTGACTCAAATCCCTAGATTATTTTGTCAAACATCTGTCTTAGTCTCAAATCAAAAGGAGAGGACTCAGAATAAAAATGGGTCAAGATACCTGGCTCCACAGCAGGAAGTGCATGTGTGCAAAGAGGGACAGTGTTGCTTTTCTTATATTGGGTATATGTCTGTGCACATTACCTTCACCTGATTTCTACAGAATACATAGAATATACAATGACAGAAGTGTCCTTGAAGCCGACAGATATCTCAATGATGTCTTATGTTAAAAAGCTATGTATATATTACTCAGATTACTCAGTACTCATAGCAATGTTGGGAAGGAATTTTGATATTCATTTTTAAATTCATAAACCACCTTATATTGATAGAGTATATGGTGTAGACTTATTAAGAGCATCAAATGAAATCTCAATTTTATTGTCAGTTAAGTTTCATGTGCAGTAAGTCATGTTATAAAAAGCACTCTTCCAAAATTGACTAGGGCTATCACTGGTTGATCAGTCTAAAATGAAACATGGTTTTTTTTAAATTAATTTATTTATTATTTTACTTTACAATATTGTATTGGTTTTGCCATACATTGACTTGAATCCTCCATGGGTGTTCATGTGTTCCCCATCCTGAATCCCCCTCCCACCTCCCTCCGCATCCCATCCCTTTGGGTCATCCCAGTGCACCAGCCCTGAGCACCCTGTCTCATGCATTGAACCTGGACTGGTGATTTGTTTCACATATGATAATTTACATGTTTCAATGCCATTCTCCCATATCATCCCGCTCTTGCCCTCTCCCACGGAGTCCAAAAGACTGTTCAATACATCTGTGTCTCTTTTGCTATCTCGCATACAGGGTTATCATTACCATCTTTCTAAATTCCATATATATACATTAGTATACTGTATTGGTGTTTTTCTTTCTGGCTTACTGCACTCTGTATAATAGGCTCCAGTTTCATCCACCTCATTAGAACTGACTCAAATGTATTCTTTTTAATGGCTGAGTAATATTCTACTGTGTATATGTACCATAGCTTTCTTATCCATTCATCTGCTGATAGACATCTAGGTTGCTTCCATGTCCTGGCTATTATAAATAGTACCATAATGAACATTGGGGTACATGTGTCTCTTTCAGTCTCTTTCCTCAGTGTGTATGACCAGCAGCAGGATTTCTGGGTTATATGGCAGTTCTATTTCCAGTTTTTTAAGGAATCTCCACGCTGTTCTCCATAGTGACTGTACTAGTTTGCACTCCCACCAACAGTGTAAGAGGCTCCCTTTCCTCCACACCCTCTCCAGCATTTATTTCTTGTAGAACTTTGGGATAGCAGCCATTCTGATTGGTGTGAAGTGGTACCTCATTGTGGTTTTGATTTGCATGTCTCTGATAATGAGTGATGTTGAGCATCTTTTCAAGTGTTTGTTAAGCCATCTGTATGTCTTCTTTGGAGAAATGTCTGTTTAGTTCTTTGGCCCACTTTTTGACAAACCCTCAGCAAACATTATCCTCAATGGTGAAAAATTGAAAGCATTTCCCCTAAAGTCAGGAACAAGACAAGGGTGCCCACTCTCACCTCTACTATTCAACATAGTTTTGGAAGTTTTAGCCACAGCAATCAGAGCAGAAAAGGAAATAAAAGGAATCCAGATTGGAAAAGAAGAAGTAAAACTCTGACTGTTTGCAGATGACATGATCCTCTACAGAGAAAACCCTAAAGACTCCACCAGAAAATTACTAGAGCTAATCAAGGAATATAGTAAAGTTGCAGGATATAAAATTAACACACAGAAATCCCTTGCATTCCTCTACACTAACAATGAGAAAACAGAAAGAGAAATTAAGAAAACAGTTCCATTCACCACTGCAACAAAAAATAAAATACTTATGAATATATCCACCTAAAGAAACAGAAGACCTATATATAGAAAACTATAAAACACTGGTGAAAGAAATCAAAGAGGACACAAATAGATGGAGAAATATACCATGTTCATTGATCAGAAGAATCAATATTGTGAAAATGAGTATACTACCCAAAGCAATCTATAGATTCAGTGCAATCCCCATCAGGCTACCAATGGTATTTTCAGAGAAGTAGAACAAATAATTTCACAATTTGTATGGAAATGAAAAAAAAAAAAACTCAAATAGCTAAAGCAATCTTGAGAAAGAAGAATGGAACTGGAGGAATCAACCTGCCTGACTTCAGACTATACTACAAAGCCACAGTCATCAAGACAGTATGGTACTGGCACAAAGACAGAAATATAGATCAATGGAACAGAATAGAAAGCCCAGAGATAAATCCACACATCTATGGACACCTTATCTTTGACAAAGGAGGCAAGAATACACAATGGAGAAAAGACAATCTCTTTAACAAGTGGTGCTGGGAAAGCTGGTCAACCACTTGCAAAAAGAATGAAACTAGAACACTTTCTAACACCATACACAAAAATAAACTCAAAATGGATTAAAGATCTAAACATAAGACCAGAAACCACTAAACTCCTAGAGGAAAACATAGGGAAAACACTCTCAGACATAAACCACAACAGGATCCTCTATGACCCACCTCCCAGAATACTGAAAATAAAAGCAAAAATAAACAAATGGGACCTAATTAAAATTAAAAGCTTCTGCACAACAAAGGAAACTATAAGCAAGGTGAAAAGACAGCCTTCAGAATGGGAGAAAATAATAGCAAACAAAGCAATGGACAAAGAATTAATCTCAAAAATATACAAGCAACTCCTGTAGCTCAATTCCAGAAAAATAAAAGAGCCATGGTTATATTTTTGACACATGAGTTAGCTTCGTATTTAGAAAATTTCTTTGTAGCTTTAAAATGGTAACTATTATATGATTTAATTGCCATTAAACTAATATTTGTGGATCTATGTGACGCTGTGAACAAGTGTTGTAGAAAAGCACATTTCTCTTTACACAATGTCAGTATCAATTCCAGATATCCTACTTACCAAGTGATATTTTATTTTATGTGACACAGACACTTAAAACATATAGTTTCTCTGAAATCGCATCAAGATTTAACAGCATCAAAACTAGTTCTGGAACTTCCTTAGTGGAGTAGTGTATAAGAATCTACCTGCTGATGCAGGGGACATGGGTTCAATCCCTTGTCTGGGAGGATTCCACATGCCACATAGCAACTAAATCCATGCACTACTGAGCCTGTGCTCTAGAGCCCACAAGTTGCAACTACCAGGTCACACGTTGCAACTACCATATCCTGCATGCTCTGGGACCTGTGAGCCACAACTACTGGACCTGTGTGCTGCAACTACTGAAGCCTGTGAACCCCAGATTCTGTGCTCCACAAGAGAAGCCACTGCAATGAGAAGTCTGTGCACTGTACCAATGAGTAGGCCCTGCTTGCTGCACAGCCCCCACTCACTGCAACTGGAGAAAGCCTGTGCGAAGCAATGAAGACCCAGTGCAGTCAAAAAGTAAGCAAATTAATTAAAAAACAAAAAGAACTAGTTCTGATTTACTTTATTTGACTAAACTTCCAATTTTGGGGGGTGGGGTGGGGAGAGGTAAGACTTTTTACCTTTTACAAAATTTTACTTTTTTTTACTTTTTTGTATTTGTATGTATGAATGTAAATAAAACAAAAAGAAACATGTTGATGAATATTCATCCAGAGAGATAAGATGAAGAAGAAAAGAGCTGCCATCTTTCACTATCTAGAAGGTGCTTGGGTTTTGCTGTTGTGATTAATTATCCATCCTTGTGCCCCAAATAAAACTCTTGGGCTGAGAGTTCAGCTGAAAAATGTGCAAGAGAGACCTAGAAGGCTCAAATAGAGAGAGAAAGGAAAGAATGGTCTAAACTCCCCTGCCCAGTAAAAGGATCTTGGGGAACAGGTTTTCCTTTTCCTTTTCTTTCCTTCTCCTGTTCCTATTTCCTTTCCAATTCGGTTTCCATTCCCTTCCCTCTCCCCACACAGGATCTCCTTTTAGTCTGGTTGATAGGAAGACTACTGTGGCTCTCAGTGTGACACACATTAGGAGGTTATGTTGTTACATTAAGAAATCATATTATTATACATCAAATGTTATTACATAAAAATACATCATACACCATTATTAATGCATGCCAGAAACCAGTATATAAACCTTATCATATTAAACACATTAATTTTTTTAAAAACTTCCGGACTACAACCAGGATTCTTGCCAAGCAAATCATGAGCATGTCTAGACTATCGTGTAGCACCATTTATTTTAGAATTTTTAAACTTAAAATTGAAAAGTACTGCAGTATATAGTAATGGAGGAACAAGGATATTCTGCAGAAACTTTTAGTTAGGCAAAAGAAAGATTTTTTTTTACCAACTCTTGTTTAAATATTTGCTAACTTTAAAAATATCTCTTGAGAGAGATGCATGACTCTCACATAGATCTTGTGACAGAGCATATAAAAAGACAGACTTCTTAGTTCAACAATGAAGAATCACTGTAATAAAAATACTTTTCCTCCAATCCTCATCATTTTCGAAGCAAAGAGAAAGACTTAATGAGTTTAAATGGTACAAAATATTTCAGGGCACATAATAAATCTGAGGAAATACATACATAAATCTCTTCAATTTCTAATACAAACCATTTAAATAAATTTTTAAATGGAAAAAAATTTTATAAAATGTAAAATTTTAACATCAAGATCAACTACCTAAAGAATCCATTGTAATCAAATCTGAATAATCTGAAAAAAATCACTTTATTAATAAGAGCAGTAGTAATTAGTGAATCAGAGAAAAAAATCTTAGACAAGAGTTACATATCTCAATGATATTATACTTATTAAACACAAAGTTTTTTTAAATCCACAAGGTTAACCAAAATGTTCAATGTCCTGGATCTATTGGATGGATGATTTGAGTATTATCTAATTATTGGTTGGGTTAATTACTGTATCGCTTCCCTGATAGCTCAGTTAGTAAAGAATTTGCCGGCAATGCAGGAGACCTGGGTTCGATCCCTGGGTTGCAAAGTTCCCCTGGAGAAGGGAAGGGCTACCCACTGGAGAATTCCATGGACTGTGTGTAGTCCATGGGGTCGCAGAGAGTCAGACAACGAAGAGTGACTTTCACTTCACTTCACTTAATTACTGTATAAATTTTGTAAATGTCTAACTTAGTTAAAAATGTAGTTTCTATTTAATAGACATTCTCTAGAAAACCTGAAATAAAAAACTAAATGCTACTGAATAAAGTCCATACCTGATTTTCAAGTAATCAACAATAGCATTGGCTTGTTTCACATCAAAGATATTCCATTTTTCATTTTTGTGTGATGGTCCTATTTCAGCCATAACTTCTCCAAGCCATTTTATGCTGTCTTCTAAGGACATATGCAGTGCTGAAAAAAAAGTCCAGAGAAGTCTTAAGCATTATTTTTATGGATGCTTTACCAACAAATAACCAAAGATGTCCTTAATGTGTAAAAATTTTAGTACTCATGAGGACAAATGGTAATACTACTGTTGTTTGTTTATGCTAATAATTACATTTTATGTAAAAGAACAGTAGGTGACAAACCCAACAATAGTAAATTACCATAAACACTATACAAATGTCTAAAGAGTTTGTTTCCATTTTAAGATGGGAAAAAACCCTCAAAAAATTACTTTAGAATGGAAAAGAAAATCTTTTTATGATCTTAGATTAAGAGTATAGATGGAAATGACCCAAAGGTTGGTTAGATTAGCTGGTAAGGAAGGCCTACATGGTAGACTCGGCTGTGGTAGACAGCAAAACTGAACCCAGAGCTGAAAATGTAAATGAACAGAATTGACTAATACTCAGTTTTAGCTGATTGTTGTTACCATGTGGGAATCTGGGCCTGAAGTTTCAATAGATGCCAGGAATATGGATTTTTATGTAAAATATCAAGACTTTTCATTTTTCTTTCCTAAGCTACAGACATATATATGCTGTTTCTCAAATGTATGCCTGATGGTGGTGGTGAGAGCCAGATGACAGTGCAAAAAGAGTGACACTGACACCACTTTGTCACCATTACACCAAACAAGTCAATGATTGTAAGTCAATTATTTCACTATTAAAAGCAAACAAACAACAAAGTAAAACTATTTCCTAAGGCATCCAGTTGAAAAAGAAGTAGTTAAGTGTCAAAAGCCTGAGACTTAAACTTTTACAATGTATATATTACAAATATTAACTTTCATATTTTCATTTGTGGCAGGCAAATACAAAATACACATACACAGACAGTCCTGGCTCCCTGCATGCTGAGGATGAATCCAGGTAACTGGAGTGTCTCGGTTGTCCTTTGCTGATAAGTGAAGGGTGTATGGACATGACACCAAAGAGCATGGAGCTGGAGATCTGAAAGGCTCTAGCACAAAGGAGGTTGGATTGATTGCTTGGGGAAGGCATTTGTCAGCTGGGGGCCTAGATGAGGGCCTAAGAGAGAAATGTGCTGAACAACGTGAACCTCACCCTCCCAAGCCCAACCAAACCATTAAAGTTTCCACATCTTGTTAATGAGGTGTATGGATTTTTCAGGGAGGTAGAAGGGGAGAGTGCTGGGAAGTTATGAGAATATAGGCTGATTGTTGGACCCAGTTATTTCTGGGTTACACAGCTACTTTTCCTGGGATATAAGTGCTAGGTCCCCAAATTACTAATAAAATGACAGTAATTTAAAAATTTGGAAGACACTATAAATACCAACTTGTTTAGTCTAGCTTCTATATGTAGGAATTAGAAAAGAAGCATAAAACTATATAACAATTAAAATCTAATTTAATGAATGACAATTAGTCTAATTCTCATAGCCTCCTTACAGATACTGTATTATGTCTGTCAGAGATATAGAATTATTGCTAGATAACTAGGTTTTCCTATATCATTTTAAGTGGAGCTCAATTATTATTGAATTATTTCTTTTTTCATGACAACTTCTTTTGAAAATAGTGACAGCAATTTAAGAAATGAAAAATCTGTTGGATAAAAGCACTTAAGAAATGAATGGATTACAATCTGAATCATTTTATTAATAAAATTGTATTAATTAGAGATGCAGAGAAAAAATTTAGATGACTGTAATTCTAGATGTAATTATACTTATCAAGCACAAAAATAAATTTATACAGCTATTTCCTTATGTTAAAATATAACTGACTCTTTAAAACTGTTTTTTATGTCTAATGTCTTTCAATAGGAAATGGCTTTAAAAATATGAAAGTTATCATTTTACTTATCTAACTGAAATGTTTGCTCTTTTAAAAATCACATTTAGTGATGTGATTAAAATATAAAAGCTTAAACCAATTAAATAGTAAAAGCTGTTAGAAATAAAATTTATCCTTGAAAATTTAGGGTAATCAAAAAACATACTGTACTTATAATTAGTTGGAAGATTTAGACTGGTACCTCATAACTGCCATTTACTAGTGAGGTGATCTGAGTTTCATTTGCTTATTTGTAAATGAGAATATTACCAATTTTCAAACTAATAGTGCTGCTGTGAAGATCAAATAAGGAATGCATGGGAAACTTGGTAAACTGAAAAGATACATATATATTATATGTCTATAGCACTTTCTAGAATTCAACTCAAAACCAGGCACATTTGAGGTAGTCAGGAGGATGGGCTCTCACTTGCTGGAGTTCAGATGTGGCATCTCTGAATCTCATTTATTTTTACAATTTTTAAAATAAGGAGAATAATATTAATAGAACTATCTCATAAGATTGTGGATGAACTAAGTAACAGTATTTGGAAAGCAAATGGCACCGTGAGTGACACAAGTTAATTCTATGAAATATTTACTATTATTATTTCTATTCGGAAGAAAAACAATTTAACTTCATAGAACTAAGAAGTGTTATATGATTATTTAATAAATTCATATTATGTAGAGGAGAATTAATCTTGGCCCATTGACCTTGACAGAGGCCAAATATGCAGACTATCTAACAGTCTATATCCCATGCTTGGTCAGCTCCTGGAAAAATTAGACCTCAATATGTATATTAAGACTGTACAAATCTTATATTCCATAATCCTTTATTTTGATCTACTTTGACTCCAGGTGGGTTGTCTGAAGAATGTCTCATAGATAAAGCAGCAGAATCTGAGACAAGGGACAGATTAGAAGTGAGTCAGTAGAAAATGCAGTTTCTACACTAGAATTTTATTAGTAACCATTGACCATGCTACAAGTCCACAGCACACATTGTTCTTCAGTGCTTTCTCTATGAAGATGTTGCGGAATGGGATGGGAGTGCTCACTATGCACTCAGGACTCTACCACTTTTTAGTTTAAGTATAAACATACTTTACCTATTTCCCTGGCACACCTGGCTAAGATTACCTTCTCTCTTGATGGTAGTTAGAACTTTTTCAGGTTGAAAGGTTTGAGGGGATTTTCTATCAGAAAGAAAAGCTAGATCTCTTGCTTTTTTTTCTGGTTAGCCTTTGCACATGTACTTTCACTCTCTCATAGTTTATGAGTACTTGGATGGATCCTGTTCAAGTTTTAAAAATTCATTTTTGAACTGACATCAACAATATAAAGTTTCACATAAAAGAAATATTTGTGATGCAGTTATAAGTTATGGAAAAAGTTTAAAATGGAAATCTCTTGTCAAATTTGGAATGTGAGATTCATGAAATTTTTCTACTTTCCTTTACTGTTTCTAGTTTATAAATTCTTAGCTCACAGCCTGCAAAGACTGTTCATGTCATATACTTCTTTTTACAATTAAATTCATAAGTGGTACATTCACATGGTTCAAAAAATATATGTTAAGGTGTACTGTGAGAAGACTTACTCCAATCCTGTTGTCCATATGTCTAGTTCCTATACCCTTTGCACATACAATTTTGATTATTAGTTTTTTCTACATTTCAGCACTTCTTTGTATATATAACAAACAAAAACATATAAAGACTTATTCTTGTCTCTTTTTTAAACAAAAGAATACAACTTTGCGCCTTGCTTGACTCACTAACAACATATGATATCTAGAAAGCTTCCTCATCCTTTCCTTTTTTACAGTTGCATGGTATTACGATTTAGGGGTAGGGTAATCCCTACAGGTAAATTTGTAATTTCAGAATAGTTTTAGGTTTACAGAAGAGTTGCAAGAATATCACAAGAGTTCCCATATAGCTTATACACAGTTTCCCCAATTGTTAATATTGCTATGGTGCATTTGGCACAACTAATGAGCAAATACTGATATATTATTATTCAAGTTCACTTTTTGGATTTCTTTAGTTTTTACTAGTCTTTTTTTCTGCCCCAGGATTCCCTCCAGAACAAACATTTACTCATCTCATCTTCTTAGATTGCACAATTTCTCAGACGTTCCTTGTTGTCAAAGGCTTTCACAGTTTCAAGAAGTACTGATCAGATATTTTGTAATGTGTACTTAAATTTGGCATAAATTTGATACTTCTGTCATGATTAGATAAGGAATAAAGGTTTTGGAGAGAAAGACTACAGAGCCATTCTCTTCACACTATATCAAGTGGTAAAGAATCTGTCTACAAATTTTGCAGATGTAGATGTGGGTTTGATCCCTGGGTTAGGTAGATTCCTAGGAAGAGGAAATGGCAACCCATTCCAGTATTCTTGGCTGGAGAATCCCAAGGACAGGGGAGTGAGGTGAGCTACCACCCACAGGGTTGCAAGGAACTGGACATGACTGAGTGACTGAGCATGCACACACCTTACTATGCATGCTTTTGCACCCAAATCACATTGCTGTTTAACATGGCTCATCACTAATAACGTTAGTCTTTGGACCTGCTGAGGTTTTATTTGTCAGGCTTCCCTATGTAAAGTCACTATTTTCCCTCCTTTCTGTGCTGTCCTCTTTGAAACGAGATGTGCAGCACATTCTTCAGAAAAGGGAACAGGTGTTCAACTTCTTCAGGATGCAGTGATGTGCTTAGTTGCTCAGTCCTGTCTGTGACTTTGCGACCCCATGGACTGTGACCCGCCAGGCTCCCATTCATGGGGATTTTCCAGGCAAGAATATGGAGTGGGTGGCCATGTCTTCCTCCAGGGGAAGTATCTATAAAAATTACTGGGACTTCCACATCGGAGATTTCTCTATTTTTCCCCAGTTAATTATTTGCTGTTGTTCAGTCACTAAGTCATGCCCAACTCTTTGTGACCCCATGAACTGCAGTATGACAGGCTTCTCTGTCCTTCATTATCTTCTGGAGTTTGTTCAAACTCGTGTCCATGGAGAAAGTGATGGCATTCAACCATCTCATCCTCTGTCATCCCCTTCTTTTCTTGCCCTCAACCTTTCCTAGCATCAGGGTTTTACCAATGAGTCAGCTCTTCCCATCAGGTGGACAAAGTATTAGAGCTT